GGCGGTGTCGCGTTAACGAGCTGGCCGAGAAGAGGCCAGGACTGGCGTTTTACAAAAGCAGCCTTGTTTGTCGGAGGTGGCTCGCTACGCGTTTGCGACCGCCAGGCCTCGGCTGGCTGTGCAGGCGCTGGCAGCGGGCCCCATCTGCTCGCTTGCACCCGTCCCGGGGTCGCTGGCCGGAGTTTGCTCCCTCCCTCCCTCCTTCCTTCCTTCCTTCCTTCCTCTCTGGTACCCGTTGTAGGCAGTGAAAGGCGCTAGATGGCACCACACTTCGCGCTAGCGGGGTTTGAGGCACCAAGCTGGCAGATGACAGCACGCGTGGCTACGGGGAGAGCTGCCACAGGATGGTCTGCTCTTCTGCGCGCCAGCCTCTCAGTCAAAAACAGGGGGAGCTGAGGACCGGGGCAGCTGTACAGCAGAAACAAATGGGCTCTTTTAAGTTTGTCTGGTTTTACAAGCTCCCTTCGGGGAGGACCTAGCACAACAGGTTTTCATAGTCTCTCAATCTGGGGGCTCCAAAACTATTCCTGATGCCGTGGCCTACCCTACAGAAGGAACTCCAGTCTCTAGGCAATAGTTGGGGTTTGTTTGTTTGTTTGTTTGTTTTACTTTCCGTTTTCAGGTTTTGCATGACCAAACTCTTGCCCCTGGTGTGTGCAAGCCGCGGGTTGAAAGCTGCTGTTGCAAGGAAGCCCGATCCTGCAAGTCTCACGTGATGAATGAAATGGAGGTTTGAAGCGCTGCAGTTATGAGAGAGGCCCTTGGCAGCAAACCAGGCTCTCAGAGGGAGGAATGCAGTACCGTAAAAAACCAGGAGAAGGCGTAGAGACTGTTATTGGTTCATACAGACTGAACCAGCAGAAGACTGTATATTCTAGCATAAAAGACAAATTATGCGTAAACAGCAGTTAGGATAGGAACAAGTGACTTGTAGGAACAAGTGACTTGCAGGAAGGGAACAGTCCTACTTCATATCCGATCCTGATCCCATATAGCTCAGTGCTGTGCTAATATATACACCACTGCAGTACCTAGGCACCAAATTCAATGCTAAATAATTCATCGTCATAAATCACAGCCTCCCTAAGCAGGAGAACTTTCTGAGGATGAGAGACTGTGGCTGAGGAGGTTGTCTGAGGCGTGGGTGGCCAGGCCTCCAGGGCTGTATCCTGACCTTGCTGGGAGGGTATACCTTGGATAACCTTGGGCTTTTCCATCTCTGCGGTCCGTGAAACATTTTAATTTGATCAGTCCTGCGTTTCAGATCCCAAAAGCTGCCTTGTGATCTCGTCAGTTCTTCCTTCTTCCTGTACCATAATACAAGAACAACTTGGTAATATTATTGGCAAGTCAGCATGTAACCAAAGACAAAAGACTCCAGAAGAGCAAAATTCTCTATCCCACAGGAGTCAGGGCTTTCTTCCAGGTTGGTTCGTAGGAGAAGGAGTTTTCATGTGATGGGTAGTTTGGTACATAAACACCTCCTGGGTGAGATGTGTAAGAACTCCCTGAAAAATCTCAGCTTTCTGCCTCCAGCTGCAGGCTTGATTGGTGCCGGGACCAGAAAGGACTCCATCCTTCAGGAGGCGTGTTCTCAGAGGGAAGGTGGCTGTTTTCCTCTGAAGCATCAGATAGCATCTATGCTATCATCATAACATGACTAGGTGGGCCAATAGCTTGATAAGAAAGGAAGCTTACATTCTGGCTGAGATCCAGAATTGTGTCAGAGGACTCTTCACAGGAAAGAGGAGAGAGAAATCAAATCTCTTGTGAAGCGAACTTGTTCAACACAGAGTATTTCTTTCAGCTGCCTGAAACAGCTGTGCTCTGGCTTTTGTCTACCCGATCAATGCAGTGGGTGCGCAGATTGCAGTAAGCAGGCAGAGAAAGCTAAACTCATGGTAGCGTCTTGCATGGTGGATCGACTTCTGCATCTCTGCCACATGTTGCTTCTCTTAAGCACTTGCTGCAGACTCATAAGTTAATGCAGCAATTGTACCAGAGATATGTCCTGTCCTGTTTCTCACCTTCCCGTGCAGATGTTTTTCTTCAACTCTGCGAATGAGTCTGAAGTCAGTGCAACTTCTAGTGCTGTATGTTAAAGTCCCAGTCATCCTGTTTTTCATCCTATCTTTTTTATACCACACTGTAACTCAACTGTAAACGTTTGATCTCAGCCTGGAAAAGCATCTCTTGGCTCTTGCCTGTACATCTGTTTGTTGTGTTTGTTCCCCTTTTTGTCCAGGGGAAGAGTCTAATAGGTGAAGCCTTGATGCAGGATTCAGGAAATCTAACTGCAGCATCAGACTTTGTCACTGAGACTGACTCTGAGCAAACTGTTGAATCACCCAGTGCCTCAGTTTCCCATCTGTAGGATGGCGCTACTGTCCTTTTCTCCTCCGTGCTCTGACTACAGTGGGCAGGTAGAAGTGCTGTGTGGATTGCTCGCTCCACAGGACTTTTTAGCCCAAAGGCAGGATAATGCAAGTACAGCTGCCTTGTTTGGGTCCATATGCAGTACAGCTGTATTTATGCAGTGCTGAGTTCATTACTGCAGATCGTGCCTGTTGTCATTAGAAGTGGAGGTGCTGGAGAGGACTGTATGAAGACACCGGAGCAGTTCCGGGCAGGGCCAGGGTTGTGTCTGAGCTAAGGAGTATGCGACAGTTGCGTGCTCAGGCTTCTCACCCATCCTATGCCCAAACTGCAAGCGTGTCACTGTCCCAGTGAACAGAAATGTACCTGTCTTGGGGGGGTGAGGGACACTTGTGATTTTGGCACGTGCCCAGGCACACTTCTAATCCTGGGATGGGGTGCAGGAAGCAAACTGTGGACCATGTGACCTGTCCTGGCAGGCAGGTGACTCCTGAGTTAGTCTGTTCTTGTATGAGCCTTTAGCCTTTGGAAGAAAACAAGCTTTTAAGTACGATTGGTGATATTAATCTTAATAAATGTATTCTTGGAAAAGCCTTACAGGAGGGTAGACTAAGGCCAGCAGCTGGTTCTGGGAAGAAGGAGGGAGGTGTTGGGTCTAGCAACTGGAAGAGCTTGCAAGGTGTCTCATCCATGCCACTGACTGCCCAAATGGCCTTTGGCAAGTCACTTATACGCTGTCTTTCCGCACCAAGGGAAAGTGTTTTTGCTACTACCTTATTTTCCCTGTCAGTAAGACTTAGTGCTTTGATCGTGGGAATGGATTGCAAGATGCTGGGAGATGACAGAGACCATATCAGTCCAGCGTCTTCGTTGTCATCGTAACATTGCTGCATCACATCTACCCTTCTGTGAGATCTGGTGCTTCGGGAGCCTGCCCTTGAGTTGTGCTGCAGGCCTGGGTGAACTCTCCTCCTCGGAAATCAGTCTGCATCCCCCCTTCTGAAATGCTGAGTCAATTCCTTGTGGGGGTTGTACCTGCAGAAGGAGGAATGGGACTGCTGTGCAGTGTTGCTACACAGCAGGAAATGTGAGGGGTTATAAAACTCCTGGAGCGGTTGAGGATTTGGCTGCGGGCAGGATGTAAAGAGTTCAGCACTCGTCTGGGCCTGGCTCCACACTTAACCTTGAAACCTCTCGATGCTGCTGAGAGAGGAAATGGTTGGGGGCTGTCGGGCCATGTCAGGCTCCACGGTGGCTGTGCTGAGCCTGCGGAAAGGTCAGAGGATCTTCAGCCCTCTGACAGCAGAACAATTAATTAAGTGACTTATTGGTTTTGGAGGGGATCCCAAACGAGCCTGCTTAGGAAGTGCTAGCTGGCAGTGCTGTTTGCAAGCACTTGAGCCAAAAACAGCAGGAGGATCAGAGGTTGACTTCTGGCTGCAGGCATTGCTGGGTTCATTTTGTGTGCGGTTCAGCACCCTTGAGGCTTGCTGGTAGCTGCTTGAAGTCTCAAAGGCTCCCCAGGCACATCCTAAGCGTATGAATTAGGACTTGCACATAGCAACTTGTGGCAAAGTTTCCTTTGTTTTCAAGCTGAGATGAGATTTCTCTTCTGCAAAGCAGTGCCCCCCCCTCCCCCCGCCCCTTGAGTTTTTTTGATTGTCCCTCTCATTCATGTCTAGCCACCTGCTAATGATGAGACCTGGCAACACATCAACCTGAACAGTTGGTCCCACCCACTTTGCATCATGGATCCTGAAGGCAGGCCGGCTACAGACTTTATTTGGGCTCTTCTCCTCTGCCTTGAAGAAGAAGGATGCAAAGGCACTTTGATATCGAGGGAAGTGTTTGCCTCGACTCTGTAATTTTGCACCTTTCCCTCTGCTGTGGAACTGCTCTTCCCTCTGCTGCTCACACTGCAGCATCTGAGATGTGAGCTGTGGAGATGGCCCAGAAAGACCTGCAAAGTCCTCCCTCATATCAGCTGAGCTGGGGTTTCTCTTGGCCCTGGGACCAGCCTCTGCCGCTCTGAATGACCCCAAACACATTTCTAATGAAGTGCCGTCATAAGTAGGTTCTCTTTGGATGTTCTCTCCCTCTTAGATTTTTTTAGGAAGTTTGCCTTGCCTTGTGTGGTGGTATTTCTGTGTTGGGATAGCTTTTAGAGCTTACAGGGCTCTAGGTACAGTTTAAGAGCATTCCTGATTCTTCCCTGAGAGACTGTCCTTGTGGGGGCATCACCCAGCTGGATCCTTAAGAGACTTCTGACACTGTCTGATTGTAGGTACTTGTTTTTTGTTAAATTGTACTTTTAAGACTCCGTGCATCGAAAGTACATTACTTGTCTGCAGGTAGTTAGCCATGTATGACCTGGGCTCACACACAGAGTTCCCTAGAAGCAGGCCCTGCATAGAGAGCCCTGTTTCAGGAAACAGCACTGAATATCATTTTCTCAGCCCCTGCTCACGTAACTGATGCAGCTCAATTAGTTGGACACAGTAATTTATTCTTCACTGTAGGCTTGACCTTCATTACCTCTGAAAGTACCTTACAGCATCTCTTCTTCCCCAATTTGCGGCAGGTCCAGGCAGATGGGACAGATGGAAACTGTGTCACATTTGTGTTGCATGATGAGGATCACACACTTGGCAACTCCCTCCGATACATGGTCATGAAGAAGTAAGTGAAGTCCCTGTGGTGTCCCGCATCGCTGAGCGTCCCTCTCTCTCTTACCCTGGCCTTCTCCTTACTGACCCGCCTCTTAATTTTTGCTAGAGCAAGGCATATGCTCAGAAACTACCTCAATTCACATCTTTTAGGTTCTTTACATTAGGCATGCGATGTCAAAGGTCCTCACAGGGCCTGATCCTGGTCTGTGGACTGACTTCCCAGCTTGACCTCAGACCTATCTCAACCCCGTGAACTTGCCTGATGCCCTGGGCTCCAGGCTGCCCCCAGCTGCCATCTCCAGGCTTGCCCCACTCACTTGCTGTGGGGTGGTGGGATGGGGGGGCCCTGACTGGTGAGGCCCCTGCCCTGCCAGCTGTGTTACCAAGTGTGGCTCCTTGTCCCTTAGGGAGCAGCCAGCCCTCATTACTCTCTAGCAGTTAATTATGGAGGAAATTTAACATGTGATGTGCAAAAGTCTTCTGAAAGTCTTTGGCCGTTGGTAAAATGATGCCCAAATCCATGCAAGTGCATGTGGTCAGAGAGTACCTCTCTCTCTTCCTGGGACGTGTCCCTTCAGAAGTGAGGGTGGGAGTAGCTAGTATTAAGCAAATTGGTAATCTTTCATGCCCGCTTGGAGACACATTGCTGATACTGGGAATTATTTGGTTGACTTCATCAAAATATACAAATAGGGTCACACTGGTCGTGCAGTTTTATTGAATTGGGCAGCACTGAGGGTTTGTGAAGAGTTCCTTGTAACCCTCAGAAGAATTAGAGCAGGGAGTTGAATCCATCATCTCAAATGACAGCTATATTGCAAATGTCATGTGAATTCCTCGGATAAATCATCATGATGAGAAAAGCAGCAAACTCTTTGCAAGGGGCTGTTCTCTCTGCTAAAAACACAGATGTTCTCCCAAGTGGAGCCACCTCTTGGTAGAGGCAGATGCCATGCAGCCTGCAAACCATCTCAGTAAATCCTTGCAGCGCCCTAGTCCCTTCAACCGCTTTTGCCCTGCAGAAGTACAACAAATTGTTGTACGGGGAAGTTTCCAAGCAGCCAGGATCCCTGGTTTTACCTTTTCAGGCCTGCTGCTGTACAGCTGGCAGTGTCCGGGTAGTACCTAGAAGAGTGCCAGCTCTGTCCTTCCCCTGCAAAGCTCCAGCCACAGCTTAGAGAGGGATGAGGAATGTGAATAAGACTGCATAGGTAGTTTCCCTTCTGTGTACCCCTCCCATAAGACCCCTTTGCTTTAGAAACATCTTGAGACCCAGCGGGTTTGCTAGCTGTTGGCGTTGCTTGTGCCTCTGACTTCCCTGAGATTTGCTGTGAACTTGCCTGGGCTTCACTGCTGTCTTTCTCTCTCTCCTCTCCTGCAGCCCGGATGTGGAGTTCTGTGGTTACTGCATCACTCACCCCTCTGAAAGCAAGATTAACTTCCGGATCCAGACTAGGGGTATGGGCACATGCATTGCCTTTTTGTCTGGGGTACTTTTGTGAGATTCCCCCCTGCTCATGTCCGGGCTCAACCATGGGTTGTAAAAAAGGAAGGAAAGCACTCTTCTCCTCCTCTACTGAGCCGTTATGCTACAGTTTTTCTGTTACCTGGCCGTAAAGTTGAGTAGTGTTCTGCCCGCTGAGGATTGAGGAACGCATGGCTTTGCTTGGTCCCAGGCACTGAACTGTAGTGCAGGGGTGGAGTAGGTCTGCCACTCACAGTCAGAGGTGATGGGCGCTCCATGTCCCCCTAAATAAGCTTGGGATTTGGAAAGCAGAGCCAAGGTGTGCTGACTTACTTAGCTGCTATCGCAAACCCACACCTCATGAGAGAGTTTGTTTCTGCTTCTCCCTTCAAGTCATCCTGTAGCTTTGGCCATCAGGCTGTGACCTGAGGCTCTTTCGAAAAGCCTCATCAGTCCGTGCTCTTTCACAAACTTGCCTCTCAAAGAGGACTTTGTCCCCTGATAATAGATTCCATGGACACCTCTGAGTCTCTTGCAGATCCTCATTCCTCTCAGCACACCAGCCCCTCCAGTGTAGTCCCCTTCCTCATCCAGTGCCTTCCACTCTGGCTGTGTGGAATCAGCAGCTTTCTCTGCTGCCTAGAGAGATGCCCATGTGCCATGAGGCTGTTTCCTTGAGCATCAGGTATATAAGAGACCAGTTCCTAGAAGCAAGTAGCTAGATTGTGTTCACTGACTTTTAAAAATAGTCAGTACTTTGACTGTTGGCCTTGCCAAAGGAGCCCTTTCCCCATGTGAACTAACTGTGGGAAAAGTTTCTGCTGTCCCTGGGCCATAGGCTGGACCATCACGCTGTGCTCAGTTCTGAGGCTGCTGATGGTGATCTGGGAGGGGAGAAGTGCATGGGCAAATATCTCGGTGCTGGCATGAGGGCCCCTCACTGTCGTGGGGCTGCCCCTTTGCACTGCCACTATGTATCGGGGAAGAGGGCTGCCAACCCCTTCTGCAGCCACTGCCCATTTCACTAATGCATCTTATTTCCTGAAGGGGCCCTTCCTGCCATTGAGCCATTCCGAAAAGGGCTGAACGACCTGATGGGTGTTTGCCAGCACGTGCTCAACACCTTTGAGGTGAGACTATTGCCTGAAGAGCTCGGAAGCCTTTTTAACATACACTGCTAACATTTATCCTTTGCTCTTGTTTGCAGAGGAGCATGAGGGAATACAGGGCCCAGAGGGAGGAAGAGATGCAGTAGCATCTGGAGATGGCAGTCCCCCATGGATAATGTGTGTAGTGTGTGCGTGTTGAATTCCCCATGTCAAGAGTTTTTTGTTGTTTTTTTTATGACCGCTTTGAAGCAAACTTGTATTTCCTCTAATAATAAAATTTGAAGTGTGATCCTGCAGAGGTGTGACTGTGTTCAGCTCAACACAGGTACAGAAAGAGATAGGCAGGAGGCAGTTCCTCATCTTTCACTGTTCTATCTTATGTCTCGCCCTCCCCAAATGTTGTTGCCATTTCCTGCCCAGCATTTTCAGACCCGTATATGGTGTGGCAGTCTAGTGCACAGAATTCAGTTCAGTAACATCAGGCTTTTAGAGAGGCAGCACCCTCTTTTGATTTAAATCTTTTTGTTGCTGGCCCCGATACAGTTGACTTGAACAGGTATGGCCGGTGTTCATATTTAAACAGGTCACTATAAAATGATACTCTGCTCGTTTGGGGGTGAGGTGAGTAAAAAGCCACTGCCCTTTTTTAACCTCAAAAAATGCAGACATATGCAAGCCCAGAGCACTCCTGGTGAGCAGGTCCAAAGAGTACAACATTGAAACCCTGGTCTTACTTGGATTTGCTGGCAACTCGCCGAGTAAAAGCCTTTTATTAAGTGTAATGTGGCATGAAATTGCAGGAGTATCTGCTCTGCACCAGCCATGGGAGTGTGAACCTTTCCAGTTTGATCTGCTCCAGGAGACACCTCTCTCTCTTTTCAGTGGAGGTCCGCAGTTACCAAAGGAACCTGCTGACTCTCAATTAAGTATTTAGCAGACTCTGCAGACCCCCTACTGCTTAATAAGGAACACCCAGAGACTTTCCTTTCCTTTCAAGCACCAACATGTTTTATTAACATACAGAGGAATAGGAGAGAGAACATAAAATGTCAGAATTTCTCTATAAAATCATTCTTTCAAATATAAATTGACAGAGCTGGTCTCTCTGACAGGCTGACAGTGTGTTTGTGTTATCAGACATAAGGTTGAGAAACCAGCTGAATGCTACATTTCATAGTAAGGCTCCTTTCCATCTCTGCTGCAGTAGATTCATCTTATCTATATATACAGTGGTCTGCTGCCTTGGGTGGCTATGGTGCGGTGGCTTTGCTTTTGGCTAATCCTGTCTGACCTGATTTCTTGATGCGGAAGCCTCTGCCTGGGCTAAATCAACT